CATTATTATTTACAATGGTTCAAGCACAAATCCTAGTTAGGATATCAGAAGTTGGTACGTAGGGTGTATGTTTTCATCAAAGTGGGAAACCACTGGAAAGCTGACAGCATTTTGTCTGCTATGGTTTGGTTAAATACAAGTGTGCTGCTTTACAGATCACACCTGAAAGTGCTGAGCATTTCCTGGGGAAGGTGAAGTGCTCAGTGCCTTGTAGAATCATGCCCTTAGTATAATAGCAAGTGAAACCAAGCTTATATTCTAAACCACTCCAGAAATAAGGGGTACTGAGACCTGGGATTTTGGTCTGGGGCCCCCTCTCTCTCTAGTATTTACATATTTTATATACAGTTAAAGGAACAAAATATTCCTGTTAAAATCTGAGTAAACCAATTAGAACATGGAGGGGGGCCTGAAATGAAGGAAAGCAGATGCTCCACACACACACACACACTGATTTTTTCAAATGTTTGAAGGGGCACTTTTTAAAAAAAACTATTATGTGCCAAAAAATATAAATAGAAGCAATCCGAGTATTCTGAGTGACTGTGGCAGATGGGTGTAGACTGGGGCAAAATTTCAATGGGCCAGATCAGAGCTGATCCTTAAAGGACAGGTTGAATACCTAAATGCTCAGTATTCAATGAATACTGAATATTTTGCTGTGATATGCAAACTTTTCCCACTCTACACCCAGTAGCTCTGACAACCACAAGCTGTGAATTTTAATTTAGAAATACTAGATAAGTAGCCTGTACTATAAGTAAGATTAAACCAGATGTAAATTTTGCTGATCCCATAGGAATATTTATAATTTGTCATATTTTGATTAAATAATTTTTAACAATTGAAACACATTAATAGAGAGAAAAAGAGTATTTACTTTGGATGTCTAATGCAGAGCTATTACCAGTGTCTATTCTGTAATTCTGCTGCTGCAGAATTTGGTGCGGCATTCACCCACACATGCTGCAGAATTGTGCTCCAAAATCTAAGCTTTCATTTAGAAAAAAAGGGCCTAAGCCATATGTCTGCAAAGATAACTTTCAGAATATGAACTTACTATTTGCCAAAGCAGTAGAGTCTATCCAAGTAGGCAGATAGCCCAAAACATAAACTGGGTGTTGACTCTGAAACCTAACGACATTGATTGTCAACATTATTAACTATTTTACTGCTTATTATATTAGAAAAAACATTCAGATAATATGCTTATCCCAATATATTAAGCTGCCTCCTGCGTTTCCCAGGTAGTAAAACTTCCAACTATCAAAACTTTGAGCTTCCCCCGCCCACTTCTTATCCAGCTTCTAAAATGCAGTTATAGAATGCTACTACAACAAGCTGCAAAACATGGAAAAATGAAAACGGCAGGGGCAAAATAAAATTAATTAAATTCAATATCAAAACAACAAGCAACTTTGTACCAATTTGTATTGGATTACATGAAAATGAATAATGGAAACTTCCATTTTTGAATTGGACTAAATGCTACAGACACCAAAGTAAACAGGAGCCGAGACAAACGAATTTAGGCCAACTTGACACTCAGCACAGCATTGGCACTAGCCCAGTGACAAAGATAATCTTCATTTTAATCTCTTTAGGGTCAAATCCATAGGTTCAATTATTTAGTACTGATAACATTAGTAATGCTTTTGCACTCAAAGTACTTTGAAAACATTGCACAATAAACCTGGTAAGTAAGCATTATTGTAAAGGTCGGTAAACTGAGGCACAGAGCCATGCAGTGACTTGCCCAATTTACACAGCAGTCAGGGGCACAGCTGGGAATAGAACTAAGTAGTCATGATTCTCAGTCCTGTGCTCAAAACTGCTACTACACACCTTCCCTTTACCAACATTGATGGTCATCCACATCATATGTGGATTCTGGAATGTAATCTTGAAAAAATTACAGTCCAAATTACTAACCATATAATCAAGGTGGATAGAAGAATTGATGGCCTGGAAACCAAAGTGCACAGACAGAAGAGACAGATTTTCAAAATATCTCCAAAGATAAAAAGTTTTAGCAACAAAGTAGTGTAGGGGAGAGATGTTTGGAATTGGCTGAGAACAATAGGAATTGCCATAACAGATCAAACCCTGTTGTCCAGTTTATTCCAGAATCCTGTCATAACCAGATGCTTCAAAGGAAGGTGCAAGAAACCCCATAACAAACAAGTATGCACTGACGAATGACTGAAAACCAACTAATACCACAGAGTAATCATTTGTCTGGGCTTCAGTCAGGAAATAAGAGAACACATGTTTATGGACCATCTGATTGTCAAAGCTCTGAATCAGACTTACCTGAGGACCCAATCTCGGTATAAAAGCACTTCAGGAATAGATACCTTTATGGTGTCCAGTAATAAACAATAAGGGTTGGGAAAAGTTCCCTGACCTCCACAGTGACCAGAGTCCTGTTTGGGGCTCACGTGAGGAAAGATGCTGGCTGGGAAGTGTCCAAGATCTTCTCTTTCCCCAGATTTCAGGCTGAAAATAGAAAGGAAGGGGTGGGGAAGAGAATTTGTGGAAATAAACTCAAGATTTTTGTAATCTAAAAACAAGCTAGCACTCAGACAGTGGGCTGTTGTACAGATGGGCAGTATCAGTTTACAGGGATGAAGTCTCATTCCGCTACCATTTGTACCAATGCAATCAGAGTAATTCCACTGAGTTATAATGATGTAAAACCAGCATAAGAGAGAGGAGAAAGAGGTCCAAAGGCTCTGCTGGGAATTGGAGAGAATCGGATCTATTCCAATTCTACAAACACAATCTGAAAAGATGTTATATAGTTTTTTTCTCTGAGTGATTTTATCTTGAGAGGCTCCTTGAGACATTATACCAAAGACCTCACCTTGTAGCTTTCTTAGTAGCAGAGTTAATATATAAGATTATTCCATGACTTTTAAGCCTACTGCAGCAATAATGGAGTACCGACCCACTAACACTCACTTTTCCTTTTGTATTCAAAAGGCTAAAGCACCGCGATTCCAACTGATTCTTGTGTAGCTGTACAAGGGAAAAGGATGACTCCTTGCTCCCACCTTTCACCATTGTGCCCTTGCTCAGTGGCAGCTGGAATATGACGTACCACAAATTTTTGATTGGAAATGCCACAGTTGTATCTCTAGGCTATTAAGTTGACATTTGAAAATAATATTGTGTGTGCTTAGCAGATGTGTAGGAAATGTACACAGCAAAACCCAAATGTCATGAAACTCATGTGGTTTCATTATCAATTTTAATTTGGCACCAGTTCACACTGTGATTGGCCAGTGTTTCGAACAAGGCTGGTCTGATTTAAGGTTTTTGGTCAGATTGTGCCTGACCTGGGTGCTGGTGTGCAGAGAGGAAAAAAAGCACAAGTGCAGGGACTACTCTTTCCTGAGGTGAAACTTGAGGATATTCAAATTTCAGCGTTTAATTCAGCCATCCACAAAATTAAGATCTAGATCTGGATCTGAACTTCCTCAAATGTTCAGAGGATTAGGACCCAAGGAGGCTGGTTGGGCCCATCATTGCTGTTAATTAAGTAATGCACAACGAGAAACTCAGCATAGTCTTTCCAACTCTCTAAAGTAACTGGGTATTACTTCCCACCTTCCCCTGAAACAAATGGAAGACATTTGTGATTACCACTTGCAGAGTGTCATGCAAATGCGCTGTGTTCCATGCCTTTGGTCAGTAAGACTGGGTATAAATAAAAAAATGAACGTATTGTTATTATTCTGTACTTCCTTCAAAAAATGATGTTCTGCAGACTTCAGGACACTGACAGAATCTCATCCCAGGCTCAGATGCAGTGTATTTCAATTTTACATATAATGTTTTGAGTTATATAACCTATTTCATAGATGTGGGAAAAAAGTGTGAGTAATACAAGGAGCAAAGCTTTGTAAGCATCTTTACTTGTTCAAAGCATAACTGACAGCTGGGATGGAGATTACTGTTGGTTCCCTAATTACGCACAAGAATCAATTTATTCACATTTGTTATGTTGATACATCCTAGGGGAGAGAAATGTTAGTCCAAACTGCTGCCACTCATGCATATACTCACTTACAACTGCCTGTCTATTGTCACCTACCACCGCCCACCTGGGGGATGCCTGCCCTTTAAAATATAACATGGTACAAATTGTATACATGTAATAATAATCTTTCCACAGGTTTCATAATCCAGCATCCAAAACTGTCACAAGTGGTAAATTTACAATGATAAGAATCTGTTTGTGTGCAACAATGAGAATTAGACTCTTAAGTGTCCCATTATGAGGTGGGAGTCATGCCTTGAATGCTAGACTCTGGGCCAAATTCAGCCCTGGTGAAAGCAGACACATGGGGTTTGGTCCAGCTTATGCCAAGCAGGGCCGGCTTTAGGCCGATTCCACCGATTACCCGGAATCGGGCCCCACCTAAGAGGACCCCGCGCCTTAGGCGCCTTTTTAAATTGTCAAATTTTTTTTTACTCACCCAGCGGCTGTCCGCTCCGGGTCTTCGGTGGCACTTCGGTGGTGGGGGTACGCTCTGGGTCTTCAGCAGCATTTCAGTGGCGGGGGGTCCTTCAGTGCCACGGAAGACGCGGAGCGGACCTCCCACCGCCAAAGTGCCACCGAAGACCAGGACCACTGCCGGGTATTCAAATCGGGCCCCGCAGGTCCTAAAGCCGGCCCTGATGCCAGGGTAGGGTTAACTTCGATTTTCTGTGTGCATAACAGTGGCTGAAGCATTTTAGGAAAGGCTCCTTTAACAGTGAAACTGTTACTACCTCAGTTGGAGAGGATCAATACATCCTCCCACTGCTTATGTTTAAACACTCTCCTTAATTCTGCCATGTTTCTACGGCAGCAGAATTACCTCCCAGTTTCATTCATTACCAAGAGAATTGCTTAAACATGAAGAATTTGGGACTGTTAGGGCTGGATCCGAAGATAGGTCATGATTACAGTTTGTTACATATTCACGGTCTACATTATCATTCAAAGTTTCTGATTATCTTATGTCCTTTCTTTAGCTTCATGCTCAGCGGTGGCCATTTGAGGATTCTAATTTCGGGCTGTTTCTTTGCAAATTCCTCCCCTTTATACAGAAGGCATCAGTGGGCATCACAGTCCTCAATCTCTGTGCCCTTAGTGTGGACAGGTATAGTATCTCTCATCCTTTTGTTGGACACTCTTCTTTGAGACTTCTCACTTGTGCTTGTTCTAGAACTGAGAGCCTTATACCACAGGTATAAGTGCATATCTTAACAGTGCATCTTGTTCATACTCTCAAAAACATATAGGATTCAGTTTTACTGTTAGGATTTGTTGTATGGCAAGTTTTAGTCTTTTTTGAAAATGTATGTACTAAAATCCCTATTTTTCCTCATTCAAAGGACAAATAGCTTTCTAGGCGCAAGTCATTGTGGGCAATGATCTAAAAGCACAGCACAGGGGCCAAAGAATCTCTGTGTTCTAATCCTGGCTGGCACTTACTTTCTTTGTAGCCATGGACAAATCACTCATGCCCAAATTTTCAAACCTGAATGCCTAAGCTCAAGAACCTACATCAATATGTAGGTCCCTAAATAAAAGTGTCCTTATTTTTAGGGGTGCACTCAAAGAGCATTCAGTGCTCCTACTGATGTCAGTAGATGTCCCATTGACTTAAATAAAGTGGGCCTGATTTTCAAACGTGTTGAAGTCAGTGGAAGATCCAAGTGCATCTCTGAAACTCAGAGCACTTTTATGTAAGTATTTAACTTTAGACACCCCCATTTGAAAATTTTGGTATTAACCTCTCTGGGTCAGTTCCTGATTTCACTGGGGTTAATTGAGATTTACTTTGGTGCAACTGAAATTTGAATCTGACCTTACATGTCTGTTTGCCCCCAACATATTCCCTGCAAATATTTACTATAGTAGTGTGAGGTGCTAAATAATGTATCATTGGCAAAGCATATAAAATGGGGATAACAATACCCTTGGGAGGAATGTTAAGTGTTGAGAACTAACAAGATACAGTAACTCCTCAATTAAAGTCATCCCGATTAACGTTGTTACGTTGCCGATCAATTAGAGAACATGCTCATTTAAAGTTGTGCAATGCTCCCTTATAACGTTGTTTGGCAGCCACCTACTTTGTCCACTGCTTGCAGAAAGAGCAGCCCGTTGGAGCTAGCTGGTGGGGGCTTGGAACCAGGGTGGACCAGCAGCCCCCCTATCAGCTCCCGTCTCCCCTAAGTTCCCTGTGCAGCAGCCACCCAGCAGGCTATCAACTGCTGGCAGTTCAGCTGTCCCCTCCCCCCACTGCCATATGCTGCTCCTGCCCTCTGCCTTGGAGCTGCTCCTGGGAGCCTCCTGCTTGCTGTGCGGGGGGGGAGGAGCAAAGGGAGGCTAATATCAGGGTGTCCCCATTCCCCCTGCTCCTGCCCCTCCTTGCCCATCTCCATAAAGCAGGGGGAGGACATGACAGGGCTCAACTTGCTGATCTACTTAAAAAGGCAATGTACTTAGAGTGGGGTCAACATACTTAAAGGGATAATGCGCATCTCTCTCTCTCACACACAGGGGGTGTGTCTGTCTGCCATGCTGTCTCCCCTCCCTCCATTTGTGCTGCCTTGTAGAGTATGAGGCTTCATTAACAACAATGTGTTAACCCTTGAGGACTCAGCAGAGTGCTAGATTTAGCAGTAAGGCATTCCCTGGAAAAGATCCCACCCTCTTCCACCCTCCTACTTCACCACCCCAACCAAGCTTCACAATCATCATTTCTGTGTACAGTACTAAATAGTTTGTTTAAAACTTATACCGTGTGTGTGTGTATGTATATACACACACTGTATATACATGTATGTATATACACACACAGATATATATATATATATATAAATATAGTCTTTTGTCTGGTGAAAAAAATTTCCCTGGAACCTAACCCCCCCAATTTACATTAATTCTTATGGGGAAATTGGATTCTCTTAACATCGTTTTGCTTAAAGTTTCATTTTTCAGGAACATAACTACAACATTAAGTGAGGAGTTACAGTACTGATTCTAATCTCACACTAGCTTTATACTTCAATAGAAATAGCATAGGGTTGTTTTGGTGATTAATTAGTTAATGTTTGTAAAGTATTATATATGTGATAATTAACTACAATGGAGTTACTCCCAATTTACTGCAGTATTAGTGAGAGTAGCGTGGGGCCCCGTGGGATTGCACTGGTCAGAATTTATCCCATAAACTATACATTCCACATATGTTGTTGATGTAGGATCTGTTCCTTAGAGCACTCTCTCACGATCTCACATTTCTACTTCAAAGTTTTACACTGAGGCAAATATCATTCCCACATCTTTTGGGAGATAAAATTATTTTTCCCGTGCTCAGATCCAGTATTTGGATGGAGTTTTAAGTTTTTCAGTTTTGGGGTGCAGTTAAAGAAATATGAGGTAATAGCGCAATGTTATGTTCCACTTCAGATACAGATACTATAAATTACCCTTGCTGATTGTGGATTATGTAAATTTTTTAATTGTGCATCTTGTTTTCCATGGTGCAAAACTAAGCCAACGTAGTTTTTGGAAGTGCTGCTTTAAGCTTGGCATCACTGCATTAACACAACATCATTTCTTATATTTGTGGACAAATTGTGTATCAAAGTTATCAACATTTTCAACTAGAACTTGAGAAAGTAAAGCAGAGAACAAAATAAGTATGTGTTACATAAGTAAAAGTTTCATTTGTTATTGCCAAATTAATTGGTCTTATTGTGCAAAGCACAGAAAAATGGGTTGGAAGTAAAATAACAGTATTCATAAACAACTATTATCATCTTGCTATCAAAGATGATTGGACATCTTTTGTCATTCAAAATAACAAATTTATATGTAAAAACGGATCATGGGTTGTTTGTTATGAACTTCCAAATTAGTGTTAGCAGCAGAAAGAATTTTAGAATTGTTGAAACCACATAGCAAGCTACATGAATATATTCCAGTAAAATATGACCAATTAGCCCTGTAAATTACCAAAACAAGAATCATTCTTATTTTTCATAGGTAACAAGCTAAAAAAAAAAACCCTCCAAACTCTTTTGTCATATTAAAAGCCTTGTTAAAATACAAAATAAATCTGAGATCTTACTGGAAAAGAAGTCTGAACACTGATTCAAACTCCAGAGAAATTCTATCTGAAAGGGAAGCCAAGACAAAGCATTGCTGCTTTATCTACTACTTCTCTAGAGAAATAGGTAATTAAATATCTGGAAAAGTTATACATGGTCATTAATAAAACAGCTTTGTTTTATGCTTCAAGCCCCACAGTTGGTGTCAATTACACATATATCCTTGACTTCAAATGGCAGAACTTAATCAGAAAAACCCAGTGTTCCACATCTTTGGACACTGTTGCTCCTCTAATCATCTTTTGTGGATGTTAACCCTGATTTAGGAACCATAAGTTTGCTCCTTTTTGCAAGGATTGTCCCTGCCTTTAACTATATCTGTCTATTATGAGACCCTGCCCATTACCCATGCCCACACAGAAACTGGCCTGCATGGATGGTGTACTAAGGTTTAACAGCAACAGAGGGTCCTGTGGCACCTTTGAGACTAACAGAAGTACTGGGAGCATAAGTGGGTCAGAACCTCACTTCTTCAGATGCAAGTTTAACAGTTTATGCCCAGGGGAACAATGCTGTTCACATGTGGAGAAGGTTTTTAGAGGCTGACAAACAGTGCCACACCAGCCGTTTACCCTTTAAAGGAAATGCACATTTGTTGCAAATCCCTGTCAGGCATTTTTAAACTCTGGTTCATGGTGATGACTACAGTCTGAGTCTTTTCTAAACTGTGCCTGACTGTGACTAAGGCTATGACTACAGTACTGCCTAATGATGGGAAAACTTAGGTCACTAAGGGTTTTTTTTTCCCACTGAGTTTTTTACTCTTGCTCATGTCCCAGACAATGATTGTAAGGTGAAGGGTAAAGGTAAGGATCTTATCCCGTATGTGTAAGGTCTCATTTAGCCTTTGTTGCATACTGTACTGTGTGGAACTCACTCCAAATGATATGCTTTCATCTGGTAGCCCAGTTTTCAGTATCTATACAGATGGGTAAGATCATGCCAATAAACCACAGCACTGAGTGGTCGCCATAAATATCCTCCCAGCCACCACCCAGCTGGCTGCAGCTGAGCTGGCTTTTCCAGTGAGCAGTCATTGCAGTCTCTTCCCAAAAAGAACAGATCAGTAGCAGGGGAACCAGTGTGTTTTAGTGGAGTTAGCATAGGAATGAAAGCAAGGGAGTATTTGTACTCTAAATTTGATTCTAACAATAACTTGTTCTTTGTCCTTGGTCAAATGACTTCCCCTTTCTGCATTAGTTTCCCCTTCTGTAAAAGGGGATGGTTGTACTTTACTACTATAGGGTTGTTGTGATGATTACATAATGTTTGTTAACCTCTATATAAACAGAGGAGTAGTGAGTAGGAGCAGATAGATGATTTTACCTCTGTATTCAGCATTGGTGAGACCGATACGGGAATACTGCATACAGTTCTGATGTCCACATTTCAAAAAATTGGAGAGGGTGCAGGAAAAACACACAAAAATAATTTAAAGCCTGGGGGAAAAGCCTTCCACTGAGACACTTAAAAACCTCTGTCGGTTCAGTTTATCAAACAGAAAATTGAGAATGACTTGATTACAATGTACAAGTACCTCTGCAGGAAGAAAATACCGGATACTAAAGTGCTCTTCATTCTAGTGGAGGAAGGCATAAGAACCAATGGCTGGAAGATTAAGTGAGGCAAATTCCAATCAAAAATAAGTCACGCATTTTTAACAATGAGGGTGATTAACCATTGGAACAACCTGCCAAGGATAGTGGTGGATTCTCCATCTCCTGATGTCTTCAAATCAAGACGGGATGCTTTTTTTGCAGCATATACTTTACCCAAACACAAACTATTGGGCTCAATGCAGGGGTACCCAGCTAAGTTCCCTGTAAGCTGTGCGGCTGTGCAGCTGTGCAGCAGCCTATTAAGTGCCACACAGGCGCTCAGGGAAACCACCCAGTCAGGACCTGCTGTGGCCGGGGGAGGGGCGGCCCAAACCCAATCCTGGCCCAGACCTGACAGGGTCAGGGGAGGGGGCGCGTATCCTGCGGTCCCAGCCCCAGAGCTGTCATGGCGGGGAGAGCCCTGAGCCTCCACCCACACTCTGAACCCCTCAACCCCACACCCGCACCATGAATTTTGTTATGTGCACCAATATAAAGGTGATATGTCACACATCACCTCCATGCTGGTGCACATAACAAAATTCATTCCACACGTGTGGAAAAAATTAGAGGGAACACTGCCTGGGTTATATTTAAAGGTCTGTTATATACAGAAGATCAGACTAGATCAGGAGTGGGCATGGGAGGGAGCCAGGGGTGCAGGCTCTGGGTGGTGCTTACCTCAAGCAGCTTCCGGAAGCAGTGGCATGTCCCCCCTCTGGCTCCTACACAGAGGGGTAGCCAGGCCAATGGGAGCTGCGGGGGTTTGGGGTTGGGTGGTGTGCGGAGCCCCCTGGTTGCCCCTATGCATAGGAGCCGGAGGGGGGACATGCCTCTACTTCTGGGAGCCGCGTGGAGCCACAGCACACGCAGAGTGGGGAAAGCCCTGGACCCTGCTCCTCAGCAGGAGCTCAAGGGCCGGATGTCTGAAGGGCCGGATGGAGCCCCTGGGCCATAGTTTACCCATCCCTGGACTAGATGATTGAATGGTTCCTTGTGGTCTTAAACTCTATGAATCTAAAAGCATTATATACATGCCAAATAGTAGGGAGGACTGGTTACAGGCAATGAAGACCAAGTGAGGATAAATAATTAAGACTGTATAGAGTAAAAGAAAGTAGAGAGAACAGGAGAAGGACAGCAAGGGATGGACACAATATGATATAGGAGCAAGCAAGTGGGTAAACAACATAATAGGAAAGCTAAAGATTGAAAAGAAAGAAGACGGAGCTTTTCAAAGAATAGAGAAAATAACAAATGCAGAAAAAAAGAAAACAATCTGGAGATGAATAGAATATGTTAGACATTGATGGCAAGAAAAGGAAAATAAAAAGAAAAGAAAAAGAAAAGTCAGAAAACACACACATGGCTTTTAGGTTGGGGAATTGAATGCAATGTATTATGCTCCTTTGTTTTATTATACTTCCCTGATATATATACTATATTTCTGTAAGTTTGAAGGAATAAAACTCTGCAACATTTTCACACTCCTAATTATAGGCCGTTGGGGGCTAGACAAAGATCCTTTGTATTAAATAGTTCACAGTACACACACTTGTAAAATTACAGTACACTATTTTACTGAAGTTATCTTTGTACCAATTGAGTACAGCTGACCATATAATTTCTGTATGAAAATTCAACAAATTCTGATAATCAAATTATTAAATTTATTCTTTATTTGAAATTATTCAAATTCAATAAATAATTCTTGATCTGATGAGTCATTTGAATTGTGAGCTGCAAAAATCACAACTGAATATGCAGGACCCAATTCTCCACTGCCTTCCCTCTTGTACAGTGATTTACAGCTGTGCAAAAAGGTTGTAAAACATGATCAATTCTGAATAATAGTTTACTTTGCACAAGTGTAAATGACTGCACAAAGTGTAGGGAAGTAGAGAATTAGGTTCACAACTTGCAATTCACTCAATTACAAAAGTTACATGAGTAACTAACAGCACGAACTTCAGATAGTGTATTTGACTGTAATTTGCAGTTCACAGTTACATACAGTATTAGTTATATATATAATCCAATTGGGGAACTGAAATAATATCACATGACTTATGTAACTGAATGAGAATTTTACAAACATATAATTCAAAGTTCAGTTTCTATTAATATTCATGTACATGTGCTGAAATGCTCCCTCTATGGATATTCCTGCTAATAAAATTCAAGCACTTTAAATTTTTTCACAAAGCAACACTGAAAAGGGTCAAAGATATGATCAAACAAACTTGATTTTGAAAGTGAATAAATATTAGGGCAAAATTTCTTTGGCTATTCAGTCAGCTCTGTTACCGAGGGTAATTTCCTAAATCATTCAAATACAGTTTGCTCAGTTAGATGATCTTATAGCTTTGTCTCATATGCCCTCCAGGGACTGAGCAATCACCTAAACTCTTAGGGCATTCTCAGAGCATAGGAATACATTTCAAATAAGGTTTTTTTGAGTTTTTCCTTTGTTTTTCCCCCTGCAAGTCTAAAATGGCCTATTTTGTTTTAATATCTTGAAGAGCTTATATAACTTAAGACTAAGAGCCTTTCCCCAGCATGTCTTGCAAGTATGCTGTATGAGCCTGTAGTATACACCAGAGAGAGATATTCTAGTCTGTATTCTATTAAAGTGATGAAAAACTGAGCACTTTGCACCTTCCACTTTTATATTCTCTGCTATTATTCTACAGTCCTGCCATCCAATAGTTTTCCTCTGAGAGTAAGAGCCCAATCCTGCATACATTGATTCAGTCTATTTCCCAAACATCTTTGCTGTATGAGACTGAATTCATAAGTCCACCATCACATTAATGAGATTGTACATGGAACTTCCACTAGGCCCTACAATGACTAACAACATCTCCCATTGGTATTTTTACTGTTTCAGTGGGCCCATATTCGTATTGTACATAACTATTGTGTAAGGAGTTGGACAGTATTGCTAGGATTCCTATTTTGTTTTCCAAATTTCAGAAAAATACTTCTTCAACAGACAGTATGAAAAACCTATACCTCCCCATCTGGAATTACTATACTATATTTATTTATTACTATTTTGGGGAAGTAAACAAACAAATTAAGTATAAACAGTTTGCTAAGTGGAACTGAATAGATTAAAGAATTCTGCCCACCAAGCCACTTTAGATTATTACAGGGGGACAATATACTGTTGCTGCCAGAGAACCACAGCCTGTTTCTGAAAAGTACTGGTAACCTCTTTATTTTTAAATGGATAACGTTATGGAAAAAAGTGTACTGTTTTTAGCATGGATTTTATTTTCAAACTTTCTTACCCTGTGCTTCAGTTTCTCATAGGAAAAGTGATGTAGGTACTGAGACTGAATTGATATGCTGTCAATAGCACTATCTAGCACCCTTACTATTTGTATTCTGAGGCCAGGCTAGAAATTGCCCCATACTATAAAATCTGGTATTTTTAGCATTTAAAATAAATGGAAGATTGCACTTTAAGCCGAGTAAACAAAACACACATGTTTTCCTGCTTGTGATTGGTTTTGTTTTGGGTTTTTTTTTCAGTACTTTAGTCTATGAAGATTGACAACCCTATTCTGGGTATAAAATATTAGTTAACTGCCTGCAGATACAGTGCTGCCCTATGTAAATATTTGCATCCAGCTGTCTACCACCAGCCTCCTGATCTGTTCCACAATGCTGCTGGTGGCATTATGGGTGGTAGGTTTCCTGGATGAGTAGGGTCCTCTGTTATCACTTAGGTAACACAGATCTAAGGCTGCCACTCTGAGGGAGTTTAAGGAATCTAGAACCATCCCTGATATGTTAAGACAACCCAAGAGCTCTAGATCTTAATAAAGAAAATAGGTTGGAATGTCATGCTTATCTCTTTATTTTAGGTACAGAGCAGTTGCCTCCTGGAGTCGTGTTCAGGGAATTGGTGTCCCCATGATCACTGCTATTGAAATTTTCTCCATTTGGATTCTCTCCTTTATACTGGCTATTCCAGAAGCAATCGGTTTTGTCATGATATCTTTCAGATACAAAGATGAAAATCATATTACCTGCATGCTCAATGCTACAAACAAGTTTATGATGGTATGTATAATATTCAAGTAATCAAAGTTCCTTCTTTTGCAATCAACAGTTTAGAATATAGACTCTTGCAGGATGTCGGACTGAAGAGTGAAACAAAGCTTTATTTATCCATTAAAGTTTGAGACTCATACAAAAGTAGATTAACTAGGATAGGGAACTTCAATTTTAGTCATGAGTCCCCATATTCAGCCACAGCTAATAAAAGTAAATCTGATCTTAAAGCATTATCCTTTGAAAGACTTGAACGACTCATGTGAGGACATGAATCCCAGGAGGCTGAGAGCATTAGGAAACATGTTTAAAATGCACATTTCCTGTAGAAAACTAGTTCCATGTGGACTTACAAGGCAAACAAAAGGATGCCTATTTTTCTTAAATCAGCCCAGTTTTGTACTTTGATGTAAGCTTCTTGCAGCTCAGATTCCTTAATTAATCATTTACAGACATCTTGCTGTAGGTTTTATAACTTGGACATGTCAATAAGTAAGTGCTGCATACAGAGTCTACAAGTTGGTCAAGGATGTGGGTGTATTTTTTGTTGTTCATTTGAACTTTTCTTTATCACACTCATGTAGTTCTCATGGGAGTTTTAGAAAGTGAGGTATTCCTTTTCAGGACAGAACAGGTCCACCATGGGTAACAGCAGTGCAAGTTTCCCTACATTCCCCTACCAAGATGCTTCAAGCATGATCTGGAGGAACATCCTGTAGCAGGGAAAATAATTCTCTCTGTGTGTGTCTTCTCAGTCCTTGTCTCTCTGCCAACAAGGAGGCAAATGGCAATCTCCACCTGCCCAGCCCAGGCAGCAAAAATTTTAAAATGTGAGGCTTGACTCTCTTTTGGGTTTCTGCTACCAGAATCCAGGCTGTGCATCCCTAGTGGTGGAACTTCTGCCCACAGAGAATACAACTATGCAAAGAGCCCACCACCCCTCCTCCACATGGTGATGATGAGAAAAGAGCCAACCAATACAATTCAGAAAGTCAGCTGGGGAGGGGGTTTGGCCAATGCACTAAGGGTGTGTGCTGATTCATCATATGCCCTGAGTGGCTTTTCTAGGTGTGCTCCTATGAAGTCCCATCTGGAACGTAAAGTTGTTCCCCTGAGACGTCCTCCTGAACTATCTCCTTTACTCCTCCCTCCCAATATCACCTCTCAGATCTCAGTTCTGGACTTTATCTGTGCAACAGGAGAAGGAGTAAGTTCACTGAAGTTTGACCTGGTTATATCCTAGCTAGTGGGGAGGTCCATTGGAAATTGGGTGCACTGGGCTTTAAAACCCTACTTAAGACCCAAAATCATTCTAGAGGAGAGGTGCTATTGGGCCCAGTTCTGAAAATCTTATCCTGAGTAGTACTTTCTTACTAACAGTCCCACTGGTTTCAATGGGAATATTTGTGTGATAGTCAACATGTATAAAGGTTTCAGAATCAGGCCTATGACCAGTGGTCCCTCCTTTCCTTCTACCTGTGCAGAGAGAAAGCTTTTCCTTGGTAACTTATGTTTTCTCTCATGTAACCCATGGCTGTACTGATGGAGTGCATAAAAAATCAACCTCATTAAATGGACGTCAATTAATCTGGAATATAGCTTTGATTTTGTTCCTTTTCAGAAGCTGAGCACTATTCAGAAATATACGTAAACAAGATCTCAGACCTCTGACTTCTTTCTACAGTAGTTAGGAGACACATAATCCTCCATTATTAACATCTGATATTTTGGTGCGGGAACTGTGATGTTACAAGTAAGATCACATCCGTTAGGAATAAACAAGCTAGGGGAAAGTGTTTGAGAAAGAAGGGGGTGGTCCCATTTTACACACATCCAGCTCAGTGACTAATAACCTAGAGACAGGAAGCATTTAAAACGTCATATTTCAATGGAGAGTTTTGATTATTAAAACAGCTCTTCTTTAAAAAGGAAAAATAGAATACAGCATGTCCTCAAGTGTGCAAATATAGCTGCCAACAGAGGAATAAAATTGTAAATGTTTTGTCAAATGTAATATGCCTCCTAAATCACTACCAGCAGTTTAACTGTACATAGGAAAATACTGGGAAGTTATTGTTGGGCCTGATTTCCTGTCATGAAAGTCACATAGCGCACGTACCAGGTAAATAAAGGGTTAAAACTAACCAGACAGCTGAAGCCATTGGAAGCAGCCAGTCTTAAGCTTCACATTTTCCAGACAAGCACACATTAAGTGGGCTCTATCTGCCTGCTACATAAGCACACCAACTAGTAATCTATCCACTGATAGCAGAGGATGATTACACTTACAAGACATTTTTAACCTGCCCATTTTGGAATCCAGAACAGTTTACAGGAGCCTTAAAAGGTAAATGACTTTTGCTGAGAAAGGCTCTTATCAAGACTTGTTATCCTAGAGGTTTAATATGCAGTTTAGTGTTTGAGTTACTATTGGGACTTAGGAGTCAACCTGCAGCTTGTTTCAATTTGGCAAGTCAGTTGTGTGGTGTTGAGCACTGGTTTACATGAATGAGCATAAATACCCAGCAAGCACTTCCTCAAGCAGCAATTTCCAACCCAAGACAGATTGTAACTTTTTAGTTTAATATGAGGGATGAGTTTAGTCACACCATTATGGAGATTATACTACAGGTTTATTACTAATTCAAACCCTTTAAAACTTTGGGCTAATTAACAAGTGATGGTAAATCAGGAGTAGGAATTAGATATATTTATCTTGTTCCCTGAGAAATGTCTTGATGATGCCTTCTGCAAACAGTCAGAATCCTACTCCACCACAAACACATTTAGAAGGAACAAGAATGCACAAAGTTCACTCCACTTAATAGGCTCAGAAGAACCACTATCAACCACCACATGTTCCGTTATATATCTGTTGTCCGTTGCATTGCATTTGGAGAGAATTCATTCTCTTTTTTCTCTCATCTTCAGTTTTACAAAAACGCAAAGGATTGGTGGCTGTTTGGATTTTATTTCTGTGTGCCACTAGCATGTACTGCTGTCTTTTACACACTAATGACTTGTGAAATGTTAAACAGAAGGAACAGCAATTTGAGAATTGCCCTCAGCGAACATCTTAAGCAGGTAAATATTAGGGAATCCAAGGTCGGGAAAACACTGCTGCTGTGTCTGCAAGTTGGTTTATAAACATTTCAAAACAGGTTTTAATAAAATAAATTCCAGAAATAGAAAGTGAGGCTACTGGTGACTTCTGACCTTGAGGTATTCAACCAAACCCAGAACACAAGAGTAATTTATAGAATAGGTAGATATTGGAGACTGTATGTTCAAGAGCCTAAACAGTGTTTATTTCCTTTCCTAAGAAAGTGTGAGAGTCTTGCTCACCCACTCTTTAACCTTAAATCTCTACTGGCTAAATTCCTTGGAATGCTGCTACAAAGATTTGGCAAAAATTGGCAAAATGATCTCTAGTTCTTTTCAAGAAATGTAAAGTATTCAGCTGTAGCTAATGTGGAAAGGACCAGCAGAGCTTTATGTTTTCTGAATTTTTACCCCTAAACATAAAGCTCTGCTGGTCCTTTCCACTTTAGCTACAGCTGAATACTTTACATATCTTGAAAAGAGCTAGAGATCATGCATCCTAGTTATAAACACTTTGGCCTTGTCTAAACTAGACTTTTTGAAGAAATCACCCTTTGTTGTACTGGTGGCAGAAACAGTAAGAGCACTAGTGTAGACAGGGTTCAGGCCGCCATCAGCATTTTTGCCACTCTCTCATCTACACCTACTCTGAACAGTTTTAGATAGTGCTAAAAACATCAATGTCTTGTTTACATTGATGCTCCCATCATTGCAACCATGAATGGCAAAAAGAAGTCTAGTGTAAACACTGATTACGGTGCAAAGTCACTCACAGTAATATCAGACCGTACTTTGCTTGGTTTGCAGCTCTTTTCTATATTACCTTCTGGACTGTGGTTTTAAAACCGTTAGCCAAGTCCCTGCAATTAAGGTCTGAAAGGAGGCTACAATTACTACCTCACCCCCTCAAATCCTAACCCTCTGTCTACAGCTGTGAATGACCCTTTAAAGGCTGTACCTGTGCAGTCTCACTGCACAAGGGTGAGTCCTAGGGTTTTTACCCCAGTCATAATACAAAGTGAGCTCTATGAGAGTGTTCTCCACAGCTGTGCTTGAAAGGGAATAGAGCCAGAGTCAGGTGGGCCAAAGGAGAGACTAAATCCTCCACCATGCAGATGCTCCAGTCCTTACCCACATGGGGCAGGTGGCTTTAGGACCCCAGAGTCCACTCCAGCCATTAGAAATAGAAGTGTGTGGGGAGGACTCCTCCCACTACTTTCCCCTTGCTGTGATCTCCAAAGCCCAGCCAAGGTGGATTTGTGCCTCAGTTTATAAAAAAGTGTCTTTTTAATTGTCATTTTTGCTCTCTCACTTTCTCCCCTTCCTCACACAGCCTCCTCCACATTAATGCTTAATTGTGCTCCTGGCTGCAGCAGCCCCATTCTTAGCACAGAAGTCAAAGTTACATCAGATTTCATATTTTGATAACTGCTATTAAAAGAAAGAAGCAATAATAATATTAAGTCATATTAGGAGATTAACTGGAGTAATGTGGCTGAAAATTGTAACAACATTGGCTTACCCTCCATGTTATATTCCAGTGGCAGCTGCAGAGGCAACAACTATATTCTCAACACCCCCCCCCCCCCACACACACACACAATTCCTTTCACTAACCCACCCACACCTGTTGGACAGGACATGTGCATTGACAAGACTCAGGTGAAACCTTCTGTAAAGGCCTGAGCCTGTAGTCTGCTCATGAAAAGCTCCCCCTCAATTTAATAGTTGTTCCTGAATAAACATGAGTTTTGCATGAGCAATCTTAAGTGCATGCTTTTATCTAGACTGCCTATTTTTGTGCTGCTATCACTTCCCTGCCCTTATGTAGCAATGTGACTGACATGTATCAGTAATCTTTTTACTTGCTTCCTTCAGCGTCGAGAAGTTGCAAAGACAGTTTTCTGTCTGGTAGTGATTTTTGCCCTTTGCTGGTTTCCTCTCCATTTGAGCCGAATTTTGAAGAAAATGGTATACAATGAAAGGGACCCTAACAGATGTGAACTGCTCAGGTACTGTATCTTCTTACCTCAACCATTTAGAATGAAAAAATATAGGGTGATATGTTACCTAGAGTTTAATGTGATTGTTCATGCAGCTGTGAGAACTGTTAACTTAACCTGTCAGAGCCAGACACTAGAAGATTATAAGTGCTGACTCTTCCATTTTCTGATCCTTCCATTATATCCTTCAGTCTTAGGGTATTCCATTCCAATGAGGTTTCATGATAGAGCAGAATTTGGACCATTGCCATTATGTTCACCTTCTTCTCATTTTTCCAAACTGGACGGTCTGACTAGTTATTTCAGACAGGCCTTTGTGGACACATTGCCTATGCTAGAAGATCAGTATAGACCGTAGAGAATTAGCCTATACATCAGAGAAGAGTATCCATGTGCTATGTTTGTGCCCTTACAATGTGTAAAGAGTTGTAATTATTTTACTTTCTCTTTTGTTGTCTAGTTTCTTGTTGCCACTGGATTACATCAGCATTAACCTGGCAACCATGAACTCTTGTATAAACCCCATAGCTCTCTATTTTGTGAGCAAGAAGTTTAAAAACTGTTTCCAGGTAAGACTTCTAGCATGAGACATTTTTATGTAGCTGTCCCGCAGACATGCTCCATTAAAGTACTTAATGATGATATAGGTATTTATAAAGTTTAAGGAAGAGCATGTAAAGATATGAAGTTATCTAATTTATTCGCTAGAAGGTCACATAGCACACATACCAGACTGAGAGCTGAAACTATCCAGGCAGTGTAGATACTAAACCAGTATAATAGAATTTTGACAAACTCCACCAAGTCAAACATTCAGTGATCTATGCATGTACATCTTAGATACTATCTACCCACTTAATGCGCATTCATGGAGTGGAATTCATTTGATCATATTTCTCCCAATATTAGCATCTACTCAGAATGATGAATATGTTTGGCAGAAATCCTAATCTGCCTGTGATCAGGAAATCACACTTTGGCTCAAATTTTCAACTTTGGAAGCCCAAAGTTAGGAAACTAAATCCAAACTCTGGAAGTTAAATAAAGTGGAATGGCTTTCAGAATTGTTGGACAGCTGTATAGTCCATTTTTCACATGAACTCAAAATGGACACCTGAAAATTTAGGGCTAAAGTAACCTCCTTTACTTATCACACTGTACCTCCAGATTGCTGTTGTTGGTGCTTCCTAAAGTATCCATTCACAACAAAAGTAGTAAAGTGAGAGAGAAGATGAGAGTGAAGAGCAGAGTGGAAAGAAGTAGAATGGGGGGGAGGGGACTGTGAAACCAGCTGACCCTTCAAAATATAGTTTCCTTAGCTGTTAGGATTATATGCAAAGGAAAGAAAGCAAACCCACCAATGTGTGACACAAGCCAATGAATCACGTGACAAATGGTTACAATGTGGAACACCTGTGTTTTGTTCAGCATTGCATGCACTAATTTAGAGGGTTTTTTAGGATATTTCCAGGGCCAGCTCTAGGCACCAGCATTCCAAGCATGTGCTTGGGGCGGCACTCTTTAAGGGGGCAACATTCCGGCCCTTTGGGTGGCACTTTTCAAGGGGCGGCACTCCAGCTTTTTTTTTTTTTGCTTGGGGCGGCAAAATACCTGGAGCTGGCCCTGGATATTTCCACACTTTATAAATGAAATAAAACCAGGTTTGCAAGCAGTTACAAATTGCAGGGGGCTGAGGGGGCAATCCCTGCCCAGGATGCTTGGGGACTGGTGGGTTTGTGGAAAGGATCTTTGTCTGGACCTCTCATTGGATACCTGGAGAACTGGGGCTGGAAATAGAGTTGGACCTTCCCAGGCTGCCTCCAATATAATTAATTCAGTCCCTCTGCCTGCTCCAGTACAAGTAGTTCAGGCCATCCCCCACCCTGTCATACAATTAATTTATGCCTCTCATCCCCTCATTATAACCCACCCCCACATCTCCCATACCAAAAACAATACATTCAGGCCACCCTCCCATATTACAATTAAGTTATCCCCCTACCTGAGTATCAATACCGTTATTTTACATCCCAACCCACAGATACACAATACAGTTAACTTAAGTCTAGCTCTGCCTATCTGCAAAGCTCTTTTGCTGCTGTGTCCCAGAGAGGTCACTAGTCCTGCTATTGCTGCTGGAATACCAGTCCTCATTCCCCTTCCCTCTCCGGAGCAGAGTCACGAATCCCACCTGCCTAGGATCAGACTTTGTTTTCCATGAGAGGGGAGAGAAAGCCTGAGGGAACAGGTTGTGCTGCTGCACTTTTCAAAAGAGGTAATGGAGCCTCCCAGCCTGTGCAGAATCCAGCATCATAGGCTTGAGTCACCATCCTCACCACTCTCCTGGCTAAAAAAAGAAAAAAAGTCTGCTCCTGCTCTTACTCTCTCTGCTTCTTAGAGGGTGGAAGGGATGAAGAAGGAGGGAAAGAAAGGATGAGAATCTAAAGAGGATGAGGATCTCTTTTTTTCCTCACCCCTGCCTGTCTGCTACTACTAGACCTTGTCTTGGAACACTGCCTTAGTTTGTAGAACAGGAAGGGATCATCTGCTGTAGAGTGGAATGCATTACACTTGAGGAGTGTGGTGGGATCTCAACTTGCACACCTTACTCAGGCAAAATTCCCATTCAGTGAAGTGAAAATTTTGCCTAAATAAGGAGTGTAAGGTCAGGCCTTAATTTTGTGTCATAGAGATGGGCAATTACAGAATCACCTGGATTTTTAAGGCCAAACTCTGCCTATGTGCAGCTCCCACTTCTTCACTTGGAATCCCATGCACACGTTTGAAGACAGGATATAGTTCTATAGAGAGTTTCTAGATTTATGTTATTTGGAATCTTTTTTCTTTCCAGTCATGTCTCTGCTGTTGCTGCTACCGATCCAAAAGTCTAGTGACTTCAGTGCCAATGAATGGAACAAGCATTCAGTGGAAAAACCATGAACTAAATAACCACAATACAGATCGAAGCAGCCATAAGGACAGCATAAACTGAGACTGAAGGACACTGAGACCACTTCAGAATCCAGGAGGAAAAAATGTCGCATGAAAGTTGTTTAAGAGGGAATCCACTGAGTGTTCCACAAAATATAATCCATTCAGAAGTTCTTTGCCCTTCTACCTAATTTCAGAGGTGATTTAATGGATTGACTATAAATTTAAAGATCTGCAAATTGGGATCCTCTTGACAATGTTGCTGTCTCTGAAAATTACATTCACCTTCTTAATGAAAAATGAAAGACTCAGTCAGCACTGTGCAGGATGTTTGCAATCTTTGACCCAAGCAGGAAGTGTCCAGTGTGTACCTGGTACCCAGCAATCTTTTTACTTGATAGTCAATTAGAATTAGTCACCATGGGATTTTCAGAGGATGTTGAATGTGGAATCTGTGAGGATATAGTTTATCTCTGTCTTTCTGCCACTTTTTAAAGGAAACATTTAACTGAGTTAGGGTTACCATTCGTCCGGATTCCCCCGGACAAGTCCGGCTTTTTTGAGTTAAAAATAGCGTCAATGTCCGGACTTCCCCCCCATGCAGAGCGTGCGCGGCTTACAGGGCAGCCTGCCGGATCGTGCCACTCGCACGGGCTCCGGCAGCCAGAGCCCTTCCTTCACTTCCCCTTCCTCTCCCCTGAAACTTGAGACCAGTCCCCTCCTCTCTCTCCCTCCCCCTCCCTCCCTGCATTTGCAGATCGCCAGCCGGCCATTCGCCTCGGCCTCCAGCAGTCTGGAGCTCTGACCCTGCTCCCCTCCCCCGCTTCTGAGCGCGCTGCTCTGCAGCACAGTAAGGGGGCTGGGGGTCAGAGAAGCGGCAGGGAGGTTCTGGGGGGGCGGGTAGTCAAGAGACAGGGAGCAGGGGGGAGGGTTGGATGGGTCAGGAGTTTGGGGGGACTGTCTGGGGGT